TTATAAAACATACATTTAAACCTTAGGTATACAATTTTTTTAAGGTACCTCCTTATTATACAAGTGAGATAAATCCTTCTTTCTTTCATTTTCAAGTTTTGAATATTTTCACTGTTCTCTCCTCACTATATGAATGATAAAAATAATATCTATGTTGGACAACGCTTTCACGTAGGCTAAGTCTTCATTGAATAATATTTCCAATACTTCTAAACACTTACATCATACCTGTCCACACACGCAATTCAAAAAAATCCTCGTCGAAAATACCTCCATACTTTTCCACACAAAGAATAAACACAAACTAAAAATTCTCGAAACTATTTATATGAAAAATTGAAACCAAACCTCAATATAATGTATTCCACAAGCATTTTAAAATATGTACAATAGATAGTCTTTAAATCTTAGCGATTGTCATTAATAGTTTTGCTTTATCTAGCAACTCCTCAAGTCTGAAACCAAATCCAGCTGTAGCTGTATATTTTATTTTTATTATATTTGTACTTCAATATATTTTCTGATGTTACTACATTCTGGTTCCTCAGACTTGGTACTTTTAACAAAACTTTTTTTTTGTCTTGATCTTAATCATGCAGTGGGAATTTTTGTGTCCCACTTTATCGCAATTAAAACATTTTTTTATCTTTAAAAGGACATTCTCTAAACCAATGTAATTGACCACACCCGAAACATGGTCTTGATGGCAAAGTAACTATATTATTTTTGGTTGGCCCTAATTTTTCTTTGGTGTATTTTTTAATGTGCGCCACGCCACTCTGTTCGATGTTTTTCGAATCCTCTCTGAAGCTCACGAAACGTTGGCAATCTTCGCCAACCGGCTATGAAGTACCGTCGATCTCGTATTTTAGCGTCTTTCGCCGAAATCAAACCCTGGACGAAAATCAGGCATTTAAAATTATTGGCGCTTAACTCTCCCAATTTGAAATCATCGCAGTGTTTATTGACTCCACTCGCGAAAGTAGTATAATATTCGTTTTCTTTGCGGGTGAGATTCAAGCATTTCCAACGCTTGTGAAACAGTGATATTTTTGGACTGAAGAGTTCCGTTAATGATTGAACAGCCTCATTAAATTTCAAGTCGTTGGTTTTCTTAGGCAAAATATAATTAACAAACTTAGTATATTCTGCTGCGCCTAATTTCCTGAGGAGTAAGCGAACCTTTTTATGGTCAGCCCAATTTGCACAATTCGTATTGTTCTCGTAACGTTTAAAGTACGACGCGAACGTAATTTCATTTTCAGGTGCGTACGTGAAGTTATCAATAGCACTCCAAACGGCATTTGGAGAGAAAGCGTTCTAGCTATTCTCATTTTGTCTTTTGTTGGATAAGTGCCTTTGCTCATTCTGTGTTTTAAGGAGCAATTCCTCAAGCTTCTGTTCTCTAACTAAAATTTCTAAGTGCAGTTTTTTTTATTTTCTTGTTCATTTTGCAAACGCAATTCTGTTTGTTCTCGTTGGAATTTCTCTTGTTTTTCTTGAAATTCTTGCTCCAACAGCAAACGTTGTTCCTGTTGGTGTTTTAATAACTCTAGAATTGCACTTTTAAATTCGTCCATTTTACTGTGGTGGTACGAAAAATTTAGAAATGAAGGGAGGGGTGAATTTTTTTTCAGTTCATCCAACAATAAGTCTGCTTGACTTGAACAATTCTTTTTCAGAAAAATTTAAAAGCGCGAGAGGGGGTAAATTTTTACCCTATTAGCGAAAACAATAAGTCTGCTTGACTTATTCAGTTCATTTACTGTCTTGTTGGAATAGAAGAAAAATAACACGGTTCACCAACCTTCTTTCCAACCACTGAATTGAACTTGTAGAAATCCTATTGTTTTACGGGGTTTCTTCTTTTTTTTTTTTTCACTGACAGTGTTTTATTTTACACTGGATATATTTCTGCCGTAGAGTTTCTTTCTTCACCAGTGTTGTAGATACTGGTAAAAATTTTGTGATTTAACGTGAAGACCGTTTCTTCAAGTCCTTCGTTGCCAAGACGTTGTGCAACATTTTTTTTTTTTTGTTTTAACGTGAATTTCGTTTCTTCGAATCCTTCGTCGTCAAGATATTGTGACCAAGTAATTGGTTAAGGAATAACAAACAAGTAGTTACAGATAAAAAGTGTATTGAACAGTAAATACAACAGAAGTGTATTACACGAGTTGGGAGTGTATATCGGCTCAATCTATATCACCATTCCCCCGAGGATTACTTTCCCTACTAACTTTCCCTAAACACACTCATATTGTTGTAATGGAATGTCCCACACTCCTTATCGCCTATGCGGACTGACTATATCAGTAGCGATATATAGTGAGCACAAGATATACCCGGGAGCTTGCTTAAAGAATTACAAGCCTGCCACCCGATTCCCTGTCTTTCAGTAGTGTATTCTCTTTTACAATAAACCTCTCTTCTTTCCTCTACGCGCATGTTGCTGTACCTCCACTAGACTACCACTTTTGTCTGTCTGTAACCTCTTTAAGGATACAACACATATATGCACACACACACACACATATACATATATATATACACATATTTAGATACATTTATGTATGTAAACATATATACACATGTGTAGATATATATATACACACATATATATACATGTATAGAGACACATACATATATACATATTCTCATATATTCATATATTTATATATATTCACGCATATATACATATCTATATGTATATTCATATATGTACATATATGTACATACCTATATATACATTCGTATATATATATATATATATATATATATATATGCATACATTCACACATATATATATATATATATATATATATATATATATATATATATATATATATTTTTCAACTTAGATAAAAGCCGGTTGTTATAAATTTATAATAGTGAGCCAATTCCTATATCTTGCCTTGATTATTATGGAAGAGGGCTTCCGGATTGAAACAATTTAAAGAACAACACAATGCCATCTGTCGCAAGAGTAAGAACCATCGGGAAAAAAATTTGCCCGAAAGCCTACGTCAAACTGTAGTGTTCATTGTCCCTCTCATTCTTTCTGTGTTCTTGCAAATCTTGGGCAATAATCATCAGAATTACAGCAAAGAATTCAAGCTTCAGAAATGAAACGCTACAAAAGCATCCAAGTCGTCCCTCAAACAGCATCACAAATGATACAATGCGAAACCGCCTCAGGCAAGAATCAAGGATACTTTGGAAGGCCTCACATCTACCATCAGCAATAGAAAGTTGAAATAGTATGGATACGTTAAAAGTGCCAACAATCTTTGAACTGCTTAGTCCATGTTAAGCCCACAAAAAAAGTCAGAGACGTGAACTGAAAACACCACTTAGTGGTTGGTAAATTCATTCACACCGACTCAGACGTTGATACGCAAACGAATCAAGTGTAGAGAACGGGTCGCGTGCTCAGCTTCAGAGCTACCCTACGACCATGTGCGGTCATGGGAGTGATTATTTTAGAGATACAGGATGATTGAAAAGTAACTCCCTATTTTATGTATAATGAAACCTCCTTCTTGTTAAAATTATAGTTAGACAGGAGAGTCCATCATACATACTTTTCAATCACCATATATATATATATATATATATATATATATATATATATATATATATATATATATATGAATGATAAAATAAACTTAATTGTTAATCCGTATGAATAATTCCAAGGAGGATATAAATCCCTCCCGAGGGCGCAATGTAATAAACAGAGCAAGTAATAATTAATTAAAAATCGGAGACTTCAGAAAATCATGGTAATATTTTATTTCGCGAGACCCATAAAATTCGATTTCCTTCGTCGGAGCTTGCGGTTTCAAAATAATATATATATATATATATATATATATATATATATATATATATATATATATATATATATATATGAGAGAGAGAGGAGAGAGAGGAGAGCTATCCGCAGCATACCCTATCATTATGAATTTCTGGAAAACATGTTACGCGGTCTTGATGTAACTATTCAATTTAGGGAGGACCTTACGATGTATGCGGAACAGACACACTTCTGTGTTGTTACGAAGTCGGCAATGTGATTCTATTTACTAAGGTTGTGTGACTTTGTGACCATCGCATCAGCTAGGTCTGTTAACTGCCTACAATCCAAATTTGGCTGTCTGCAACTTTGAACTTCTTCCAAAGCTAAAGTCACTTTTGAAACGCCGTGAACGAGATTAAGGAGAACGTACCGTGGCAACTGATGGCAATCCTGAAGGATTTTGCTGACTGTGTTCAAATGTGCAAAGAACGTTGCAATAAGTTTGTGACGATCCAAGAGGTGTACTTTGAATGTGATTAAAGTGTCATTGCCCTTGATAGAATTTTTTCCGTTAATAATAAATGGCTGCATACATTCCCGACACACGTGTGTGTGTGTGTGTGTGTGTGTGTGTGTGTGTGTGTGTGTGTGTGTGTGTGTGTGTGTGTGTGTGTGTGTGTGTGTTCTCTACTTTTTTCACGGGAAAAACATATCTACATTCTTGAAAATACGTGCGGAAATACAATCAGTGAAAGCAGGCGAAAATGTAAAAGATACGAAAGTCTGCAAACACAAAAAAAAAGAAATCAATATTGATCTTCATCAGAAATTCTTGTTCTTCTCATCTTGATGATAAATTGAAAAAGAAGCAATTGTAATGAATGGTTGAATACGTCAATGAATTGTTGCAGCAACACCCGCTTGACTGTCTGTCTGTCCAACTGCCTGAAAGGCCTTGTTAGGAAAAAGAAGCGGCAGTTATTCTATTCAACATTGTACCACGAGAACATTAACTGCTCAACCAATTATTTTGCAAGGTTTCACTACATGTGGGTGGGCGCGATCTTAGCTACACCGGAAGGAAGGAAGGGTATTATCGATGGGTGACTTTAACGACCCGACTGCATTGTGAGGGCTGATATTGACACCAACAGCTATAGTAGTCATGGAGAACTATTGACTGCGGATAGGCATTCACACAAGCGAGGAATCGTTTCCGTAGATAGGCGGGATCAAATTAGATAGATTGATAGATAGATAGATAGATAGATAGATAGATAGATAGATAGATAGATATGAATAGGCATTAAGGTAAATAATCATGACTTACACTTAGAGCTAACATCAAAATTATGAAACATTTTTTTCTTTAAAGTACAACATACGTATGTATATTTAATTGGGTGGGTCCAGCATTTCTATTGTTGCGGAATACTTATCTGGCAGTTTCTCAGTATTTATTATCGTCTTTCCTTGAGCCTGAGTCCCCATCTTTCTCTCTCTCTCTTTCTCTCTCTTTCGCGCGCGCGCACGCGCGTACTTTATAAAGCAATCATCTTAAGTTCATCTCCTGACCCAGGTGTGTCGGAAATATATATTTGAAGGCAAATGCTATCAAAGTAATCTCGAAAATTCTAGCATGACAACTTCAACCCTCCCTCCCTCCTCCCACACACACACTGTGGAGTAATTAATAGAGACAGAATCTAGATTTCTATCTCTGAATTTGATTTTATTTTTTTAATTTTACTGTTTCTTAACACAATACAAGGTCCTTGGGCCACTGAAGCTAGATAGTTCCTGATTGTGATTGTTGTAAGTGAGAGGGGTGAGAGGAGGAAATAAGAAAGCTATATATGAAAACGTGTAAAATGGATATCGGTTGAGCCTGGACTTGAAGAGATCAAGATTGTAGTCTGTCGGGGAAGAGCATCTACACGAGAGTTTAGTCCACACAATAACAGATCTGAAGAAGAAGCTGTCTGATTGAAACATTCTCCTTATCAAAAATTGTTTGTCACCGTGAACACGGGCATGACGAACGCCTCTGCAGCTGGTGGAAATAAGAAATGCAACTCATTCAAACATCTGTCATAAAAAAATAGCGATAGATGTCTCATCTGTGAGATAGCGATGCAGATTGGAGAATAATTCATCATTTTTGAACACTATTTTAAACAGGGCGGAATCAGCAGTGGACCTAGAAGAGCGAAACTGTTTTGTTGCTTATGAGTTATGAGTTGAGGTTCATATGATACTTTCAAAGAGTTTGCTAATGACACTAAAGAGACTGATGACGCGATATTGTGACGGGGTAAAGGACTCAGCTGCATTATTGCACACAGGACACATACTATACATATTCCATGGGCTTGCGAAACCTTTCTTCTTAAGTTGGGGGAACTCTGGTAAAGGATGGTGTTTTTCGTCTAACCTAGACTTAGAAGCAAATTTCATTGCAAAGAGTTTAACCTTATCTGACGAAGGCTAGATGATGTCAGGGTCATTTATATTGGCGGGAACTGACGGTTTACCTCTATTGAAATTACGTTTGAATTTTTCCAGAACTCGCGAGATTTTTTTTTTTTTTTTTTTGTGGGGCGGGGGGTTCTACTTTGGCTTAGATTGATAATGAATAGGGTATCTCTGCATTTCTCTTGCATCTGATTGCGCGTAATTCTGAATGAGGCAATGGTTATGCTACACCGTCCACTCTGATAGAGATGGTAGTAGTGATTACGGTGGACCATGGCCGCAGGACATTCAGGCATGAACCAGCGTTGACTGGCTTTTGCTGGTATTTTTGTGTGGGATAAAGCTTTCAGTGCTGGAAATAATCCACTCGGAAATTAGGGAGGCCGTCCTGGAAGGCCCGCCCTTGAAAAGAGCAGATTGGTGTGTTTCTATAATGTATGATCTGAATCACTTCAAATCAGCTTTGTTTTATATTGTTCTATGTAATGACACACCTCAAGAGATCTTTGGTTTTGCATTAACCTTGACAAAGATCAAGGAGGTGACCCAAGGGAGGCAACACCTCTGCAAACATTGATGATGCCATGAGGTGAGTAACAGCTCTAATAGGTTAGCATGATACCTAGCTGCATAGGAAAGACGTCGGTTTTTTTTTTTTTAAATCTGGGTAGATTTCATCGTCTCGTTCTGAGAGGAGACTAACATAAAACACATGAAAAGATTATTCTTATTCAAGACAACCAAAAAGAAATAATTGCCAGATAGAAAGAATAACAGATTTAAAATTACTAAAATGAAATCATGATGAATAACAGTTTAATACTTATACAGACTAATATAATTCGCCTTGAACAGTAAAAGATTTAAAGGTTTATGCATTATTCTAATTAAAATAATAAAAAATGAAAACAATTTTTATAAAAATTCATTATTATACAATAGTGTTCATTATATTTTTTATTCATAAAAGCAATTCTAATTAAAAAAAAAATAAAGGTCTTAGTTTTATTGCGTTTTTTTTTTTTATTCTAAGATTAAATAAAGGCAGATTTTCTGTAAGTGGAGTCCTATTTGACCGAAACTTTTAATGATTTAAATTCTCCGAGGACTTGTCTTTATAACAAAATATAACCATTAAGTAATACAAAAAAGAATTTCTCGAAATTTCATAAAAATAAATCAGTGGATGGAGGGATAACAGATGTAAAAAATATATATTTAGAAAGAGTTTCTAAAAGAAGAAAGTTTCAAAAATAATTTATTCACTTCTAAATACTCCGAGAAAGTTTCACTAACACCCGAATATTATTTGATTTTTGCAAGAATTTCCAAATCGTGTTTTTTACCGCAAAAAGCACTCAAATTCTCCATAAAAATTTAAGGCCCCGTGTTACACCCAATACACCACACCCCCACCCCACAAAAGAGATTTTTAACTGAGGTTTCCAAGGTTCTAAAAAAAGAGTAAAAAAAGAATCACCAATAAAAATTCTTAGAAATTTCTTCTTAATAACAATACAAAAATTTTGATAACATTTGCTTTTATTATTTTGGGGGCATTTTTCATCATTTATACCACTTTTTATTGAATTTATGGTGCTACCTATTTAAAAACATAACTTTAAAAATAGAAATCTATGCTAGTCACAACTGAAATATGAACGGAAAATATGTCTTCCAGAGACAATATATGTTTGTATTTTCCATGAATTCAAGCAATCAACATTTGGTAAAAATACATTACCAAATGTCACCATTACTTTGATGACAGAGTTAGGACCGATATTCTGTTATTTTTTATTTATTTATTTTTTTATTTTTTTTTTTGATACACACTAAAGTAGACGAACTCACATAAAAAAAGAATTACATAAAACAGATTGATTGGAGTATATATATCCACATTCTGTAATCATACGTGATTAATTTTTTCGTCATAAAATATATTTTTTATACTATATATAACAATTCATTTTATGACGAAAAAAATTAATACAAATTGGAAAAAAATTAATATAAAATGGAAAAATCACAAGAAATGGAACGACTGTTTAACAAAGAATGAAACTCTGTGTGTGTGTGTGTGTGTGTGTGTGTGTGTGTGTGTGTGTGTGTGTGTGTGTGTGTGTGTGTGTGTGTGTGTGTGTCTAAAATCTGAGTGTTACTCAGAAGGGAGATAGAATATGATCATTTGTTGCGGTTGATAATATGAACTGGTGAACCTGGCGGCGTTGAGCCCTAAGGATCTGTCAGAAGCTGATCTTCTGCTGCTGCTAGTAAGAATATGAATATGACCGACCGCCTCTACAAAGTTTAACGGAAAGATTGACAGGCAAGACTGGAGGGAAAGTCTGGGTGAATGGATGGCTTCATGTACAACTTATGCCACAAAGAAGGAAGACTCAATGGCAACACTATCTGACTCATCTTCTAACCACGTGACATTTGTTAATGATTTGAACTCCGCCTCTTTCTTACTCTCTCCCCACATTTATTGGAAATTTCTCTTTAACTTTCTATCACTGTCATTTTAATCCTCTCGCTACCCACGATGTTTTCACCTTCATCTCCAGTTTTTGTTTTTGTTTTTCCTTTTATATAAACAGGTAGAATCTTAAGACTTCGAAGCTACTCTCTTCTGTCAACGAATGTTCTATTTTCAACTATAATGGCGGAAGGTATTTGGATTATTTGTTTCTTTAGAGTTCATTTAGTTACCATTCTAATATTTCTTTACGGAAAATAGAACTAAAGTAACCTCGTGAAAAAAAGTTTAAGGGAAAAAAGTACTATAATCAAGAAACAAAGAAATTATCATTTATCAAAATAGCAATTATCGATCCATCCAACCGAATGTAAATCCATTTGGGCCTAATATTGAATCGGTAGAACATTCACTACGGTCTGCATTAATTACTGATGAACTTACAGAGCATTTTGAAGGATTAAAAAAAGATCAGAATCGGCTGAGATATGGCTCACCTGCGTGAGGTGCGAAACAGTTATCCGCCCTTGAATAAAATCGTATGCGACAAATTGACAATATGGAAAGAAATGGCTCACCTGCGAACTAAAACAAATCATTTTAGCATAAAGCCGCATTAATAAACATTCCAACAAAATCGTTGCGAAAATAAGTGAAAGGGAATAAGATTTTGTCAGGTAAAGGTGGTGATGATTGTATAAGCGTAGCCTAAATGTGGCACAATGCCGAAAATATAGGGTACCCAGTGAGGACCGAACTCACTACTTAGTCGTAATTATTCTAGCGAGAAAAACTTGCTAACCATTACACGACGAAAAGTGCCTAGTTCAATTTCGTTATGATCTTGACGCTTGCATACTTTAGTAACTCAGCGTCAACCATTTTTTTCTTTTCTCAAAATGTACTGAGTCTACACGGCAGCAGCTTTATCCTTTATTTAGTGATCACTTATATGTGATCCTTGGTTTAGTGATCATTTATATTTGATCCATTATTTAGTGATCATTTATATTTGATCCTTTGTTTAGTGATCATTTATATTTGGTCCTTTGTTTAGTGATCATTTATATTTGATCCTTTGTTTAGTGATCATTTCTTTTAATGATGTTCGTAACGAAGTTCTTTTTAGCGGTTTAAATGAAAAGAATTTTCACAGATGCAACATTATGGATCGAAATTAATTTTTTTCAGCTTTTTAAATCTTTATCCCTTAAGCAATTTAGTACTGATGGACATTTGCTTCTCAAATTATTAAACTTGTTCATTATAAATGAAGAAATGGTTTAGAATTAATATCGTATGAGAAGGAAGCTTACAGAAAAGTGGATGCGAGATGTATAGAGATTCAGATTTAGAAAAAAAA